TCTTAACATTTTTATATAAATACAATATGTTCAGAACTAAAATATATACATATTTCATGAAAACATTGTCTCTCTGCCTTTCATATATATAAATTCATGAGCTAAAGGAAAATCAAGTTTCTTTTGTGTTAATGACTTGACTTTTCTTTTTGACACCATTATATTCTGGTCAGCTTTAAGTACAGTATTCTATGGAAAGATTAATTTCATATCTCTGGGTCAATAGAGAGCTTTCTGGTTCAAATGTTTGTTTCACAGCTACTGTATTCAACACAGGCAATGCATTCTGTTATACTCATAGCAGTGGAAATTGGAGAGTGTATTTGACAAAAAAATTGTAAAGGTGAGAATGGCTTGTCTCTAATAATTATATAACTAACAATATTAAGGCATTGCCACTGTTCTAGGGATTAATAGCACTGTATTAACTTAGAAGAGAGTTTTGTGTGAGTATAGCACTTTATCATTATTGGCATTAAAATCAATGATGACTAGTGAGAAGTAGTAACTTATGCTTAAAAAATTCTTAAATTTGAGTTCCTCATACTGTAAGTATTAAGAACCAAAGTACTAGACTTGTGATTCTCTGAAGGAATTATCTTATTCACCAGTTTACTCATTATCTAAGATAGTAAAAAGCATATAACACATGCTTAATATCTATTTAATTAATTGTTTAATTGGGATATTAGACAATGGAATATCAAACTCATAAATTTCACAGATATGCTATTTTAAAAATGATTGTATACTATACAACATCAATGTTTGATAAGAAAGCAATATATAATGAAAGGTGAAAGAAAAATTGAATTTACAATGGTTCCTTTAAAAAATTAGTTATTAGAGGACAACATGGGAACATTAAAATAAATAAAATATGAAAAATAATTACTGATTGCACATTGGATCATCTACCTAATTGGATAAGGTTTCTTCTCATCATTTATTTATAACTTCACTTTCACATAAATACAAACTTATTTGCTGCTTCTTTATTTGTCCAAAATTTTGTAGTTGCAGTGCTAGGTTGTTTTGTTTGCCAAGCTAATTCATGAGTTTTCCTTTTATCATTCTCCAAGATTTACTTAGGGAAACTGCAATAGATTTGTGTTAAATAGTATGCCAAATGTTATTAAAGATACCAGATTGAATTGATTATATATAGTGAATGTTAAAGTCTAGACAGATTTTATATACTTTAAATATAGTAAATAACATTGAATACTTTGTACATAAGCAAAAAGATGTTTTTCCTACATGTAACATGAGAAGTTGAAATTTCAGTGGTTTCCAAATGCGGAATACTTTGGGACAGTTTTAAAAATATAATTCCTGAATTATGTATCTGATATACTAAAGCAAATCGGGGATTCTACAAGTTTTAATGATCTAATTCCCAACCAGCTTTGCTAATCATTGTACTATTTATTTTCATAATTTCCTTCAAATTAAAAGGCTACATGACTTTAAAATATCATATTGTTAAATTTCTTCAAATTTGTTTTTCTGTATATTTGTTGTTGTCGTTATTGTTGTTAGTCTTATTTTGACCAAAGAGAAGCATGTGAGTGTAATAGATTTTATTAAAAATTAACACTAATGTGACAAAATAGTCCTACAAAGTGTTAAATCCGTGTTCTAATGTAGGTGGGGAATAATGGCCCTCTCTTGGAATAATGTAGCCTGAATGACTCATGTGGTATTCTGCTCAACACCTGTGAAGATATTTCGGTGCCAGTATTTACTTTGTTCATTAAATTTAAAAAATACTTCTTCATACACATACCTGGGCCAAGTTGGGATCTCCTCAAAACCATTTCCTATGTGAAAAAAAATCGAGCTGTTAAGAAGTGGGATGTCTGCTTGATTCAGTTTGAATAGGCTAATATATTGTCTGATATCATTGTCTGTGATGACTTTTTGAGAAAATTAATTGGTTGATGTTTTTGATTAATGAAGCAATTTGAGCTAATCATAGCTATAATAATTGGAGGGAATCAGAGTCAACCATAGTTATTTTGGCTGCATGGTGTAATTGGGAAACTTCTTAAAATCAATGATGTGGTTTAAAATGAAGCAATCTGCATTTGTGAACTTGGGAGAGCAATTTAGTCTTTTGTAGCCTAGGTTTTTTTCAACCCTATAATGTGAATATTAATAATTTTCTTAAGAAAAATTAAGTGAGGCTTACGTGAGAACACATACAAAAATGATTCAGAATGGGACATGACATTTCATTGCCATCACCACCATCATCATCATCACATTATATATAGGCAAGCACTTGTGGCATCTCTGTCTGAGACAAAAACCTGAAAACCTAACCCAAGATAAGTAAAATTTTATAGCTCAGTATAAAGGTTTCCTATATTATGTGTTTGTTTGCTGCACATCGATAATGTCAATCTTTTGGTTAGAGTGTGCTTTAATATTTTGTGACTATTGTTATGTAATCAATAGGACGTGTTTAGAATTATATCTTCGTATCTTTATAAAATATTACCAAACATTAAATTTGCTTAATGAAGATTTTAATCATCTAATACTGGTGGAAATAACGTGGCACCTTATTTCATCATTTACAAAGATGACTTTGGGTAAAATATCTTGAATTATAATGTATTCAAAAATATATAGAGTTTATGATTTTTTCTTTATAAAATAGCTAGTTTTGCTATATATTTTGACATTTTTGATTGCTACCTATTTATGTTAGATTACAATTAATGTGATTCAAGTATTGGTTAAGGTAATCTAGTTGAAGTAAAATGTTTCATGTTATTTCCAGTAAACGATTAATACTTTTAAAAACTCATGATTAATATCAGAATTGATTTGATCACAATATTCTAGAATTAGAAATAGATCATTTTATATTGAGTTATACTTCAGCTTTGAATAATGTATGAAATTTGACTCACTCTATATCCTACAAATAAGTATTTCCCCGTCTCTATATTTAAAAGGGTAAAAGTGGGGTATTCAATGATATATGTTTTCAGGAAAACTCTAAATCAATTCTTTAGGTCACTGCCATTGAGAAAACATTAAAATGTGAATTAAAGGTTATTTTTGTGACAAAGAGGAACACTGAATATTGATAGCCATTTGGCTTTAATATTGTTAAATGAGGCCACATTACTGCTGTTGACAGTTGGCTGTCTAATAAGCCAGAATATTTTATCAGGAATGTTATAGCAAGATGTGCTTTGAAGAGTCTGTTGGAAAACAGCTCATTTAAGGTTCAGTATGATCACTCTTATTTGCCTCTTCTATATTATCTATTTCTCCAAAGGTAGAAATAAATACTGAGCATCATGCTCTTGTCAGTCTCTGGCACCCTGACTTGGTGAGGGTTTGGATTAGTCCCCAAAGAAAGTATGTTTTACTGCTAGATATCAGGATTGTCAACAAAACGAAGCAAGATAGCAAATGAAATTGGGAGAAATTGTTCAACTACAAAATTGAAATATAAAACGTATTAATTCAATGACATTTTGGAGTCTGTTATGTAGCACTAGCTAACTGACACATACACCCAGTGCAGATAGGATACTAGGATTTAATGACAGGGTGATTATTAGTTACCTGAGAAACAGAAGGTGCCTTATAGATTTGATTTCCTTTTCTCCTTACTTAAAGTTGGATCTCTTGTTATATGGTGTTGAGTTATACAGAAATGCACGTAGACATGGTTGCATGGGATTGGTCCTTAAACTCACACAGTGCCCCATGTCATAGGAGGAAACCGACAGCCACACCCTGACCATTAGGGCCAAGGCCAAATTGTAAAATAAGAAGTTTGCTTTCAATCTATTCCCTCCACATCTAATCTTTGGAGGTCAAGGATGTGGACACATCTGAAGACATGGACTCCCTCCTCCTGGCCCCTGACATCCTTTGTTCACTGTATGATCTTTGGAAGTGGCCTTTGCCCCTGCCGAGCAGCAGGTGGGCTACCTGTGGACAATACCTGCTTGCAGGCACTACTCTTTTTCTGGGCATTGTCTCTCCCACACTTGGGCCTGAGGAGAGATGTTGGCAGGAAGTGGGTGTCCCCTCACATCTGGAAGAAGGCGGGTAAGATCCTTCATTTCTCTGAGGTCAGAGGAGTCAGAGACTTCAGAGCTGCACTTCAATGTGGCAGCCACTGGCTGCTGAGCACCTGAAATGTGGCTGGTCTGAACTGGAATGTGCTGGAAGCAAAAATATAGAGTGACTTTGAAAGATTTAGTACCACATAAAGAAAAAAAACTTTATTAATAATATATTAAGCACATGTTTAAATGGTAATATTTTGAATATATTGGGTTAAATAAAGTATTACAATTAATTTCATCTGTTTTGTTTTGTTTTATGTGGTTACTAGAAAACTTAAAATGACATGTGGCTCACATTTTATTTCACTGGACATTGCTGCCTTAGAGGATGGCCTCACTTTTCAAAGCTCAGGCTGCCTCCACAAAAGACCAGAGGCCATGAAGTTTATGTAATCTTAAATTTAAAATAATTGTCATTATATTGTTTCCAGTTTTAAATATTATATATATTATTTGTGAATGGATATAACCTTATAGACAAGATTAAATGGGAATGTCCGTCAGGCGGCGCCAGATTCCAGCGCGGGGAGGAATTCTTGCCTAAAAAGGGACTAAATAGGGAATAGAACTTTAAAGCTAAGAACTGGTCATTCTGGCCTTATTCAGCCCTGCCAGGGACCGCATCTCCTGCCACTCAGGGCATGAGGGGCGGGGTCTGGAGCTCTATCCAATCAGGGCCTCCGGGGTGGGGCCTGTCTAATCTGGCGCGAAGCCGGAAAGGAGGGGGCGGCTTCCGGGATCTGGCTGGGCCTTTGTCCCTCATGTTCGCGTGTCTACTGCTGAGGTCTGTTTTCAGCGCTACTTCTCTTTCTCATTGGGAGGTCCAGGTGGCTCTACCTCAGCCTCTGTCACTCTGTGACCAGCAGGTACTGGGAGATTCGTAGGGAGGACGCTGGGACGCCCCGGACATCAGGAAATGGTGAGTTTGCGGGCCGCGTATCCGGAGATGGGAAAGGGGCTGGTTGGAAACCAGCAGAACCGGCTGTGGCGAGACTTGGGCCTCCCCGTGGTCAGCTCTGGGGTTAGTGGACCTCAGCCTCCGCTGGCTAATGGCGCAGCAAGGCCCTCAGTCCTCTCTACTCGATGGGTGTGGCAGGGACCCCACGCGTCCAGTCCTGTTCCTGCACGGTGACTTTGGCCGCAGCCCTGAACCCTGTCTGTGCAGCTCTGCGTCCGCAGCCCTGCATCTCCCCCAGATTGTGCGGTGATGACGGGAGGGTCATCAGCGGGTATCCCGACTTGGTGTGCGAGTTCGTTATTAATTTACAAAAAAATGCATTTGAGTTAGATATCGGTATTATTAGGTAAGAACCTGGGGCACTAGAGTCAGTTCAGTCCGATTGCCTCCTACTGTGTTATTTTAACACTGTGCAGAAGGACTTTAGATCAGTTTGTGGAATATTGACATTTTAACTATATTACATATTGTTATCCTTGAACATTAGATGTGTTTATATTTATTCAGTTCTTTGATTTCTTTCATCAAAAATTTAAAAAGTGTTAAAGCCTGGTCCTTCTTTTGTTAAGTTTGTTTTTAAATGTTTCTTTTTTTTAATGCCATGATGAGTGGAATTGTTTTCTTAATTTCATTTTCATATTACTCATTGCTAGTATGTAGAAGTACCGTTGAATTTTTTGTGTTGATCTTGAATCATGTGACTGCTGAACTCATTTATTTGTTCTGGTGAGTTGTAGTGAATTTCTTACAAACTTAGGTATGCAAGTTTATGTTATCGGCAATAAAAAGATTCTATCTCTTTTCTCCTATGGAGAATTTTATTTTTCTTATTTAATTTCTGTGGAGAATATTTTCAGTTCTATGATGAATAGGGTGGTAAAGTGAACATTCTTTTGTTCCAAAACTTCAAAGTAAAGTCTTTTATAATTATGATATTAGCTGTAGGTTTTTCATAATTTCACTTTAGCAAGTCTATAAAGGCTTCTTTGTATTACTAGTTTTCTGGGAGTTTGATCATAAATAGTTATTGGATTTGACAGTTACTCTTCTGTGCCTGTTAAAAGTGTTTTTTTCCCCCCATTATTCTGTTTGTAAATTGCATTGATTGATATTTGGATATTAAGTCAACATTGCATTTGTCAATTAACTCAATTTGGTAGTGATGTACAAGCATTCTTATGTGTTGCTAGATTAAATTTGCTGGGATTTCGTGTGTGTGCGTGGCTTCTGTGTGCACATTCATCAGGGGTATTATTCCATAGTCGTCTCTACTTGAATGCTTTTGTCTGGTTTTGGTATCAGGGTAATACAGTCCTCATAGAATGAACTGGAAAGTATTCCCAATAATGTTATTCTAAGTTTTGGAGGAGTTTGTGAAGAGTTGGCATTAATTCTTCACTAAATGTTTAGTAGAATTTACCAGTCATGGAATGTGGCTCTATGCTTCTCTTTGTGGAAAGATCTTAAATTATTTGAATCATTTTACATATTATATGTCTCTTTATATATTCTATTTATTTTTGAATTTACTTTGATAGTTTGTGCCTATCAAAGTATTCATTTCAAATTTGTAGTATTCTATGTTTCTAGATTTTTCTAAGCAATTAACACTGAAAATTCAGGGAGTACGATGTAGGAGAATGAGGCTTTGGCATAATCAGCGAATGATCCAAAATTGCCTCTGATATAGGATGAAATATATGACTGTAATTGCTATACTTTATATTTATTATATATGTAAAATGTGTTATTTAATCTAAAACTAGTGAAGCATGCCATTTCACTTTAGATTTTATAAAAATAGCATACTGAGCCTCCCTCATAGTTTTCATCAATATTTAGATAGGGCAATAAAACAAATTTTATTAAGAACAAATGCTAAATAAATAGTAAATGATGAATGGTATGAATAAGTGGAAATTTGACAAATCAGAGTGGTAAATAATCATTATGTCCATATACTGTGTTAGTTACTATTCTAAGTCATTTATACATATAGACTTAATTACTAGGAGTTTAAAATGTATAATACAATGATTTATAGTCAATGATACATTGACACATTTATAATGATAGCAGGTGACACTAAAACCATAGAAATAAAATGTTTTGGTATGCAGTGCATAAATGAACATAAAATATTAAATAATTTTATTAGAAAGTTTGATTTATTAAACGTAGTGACAAATGGACCTCATTATTCACTAGAAAACATGAGATACATATTATTTGTTGATATAGTGGAAAGTTATTTAAAATGGTAATGTTTTAGGCCTAAAATGTCATTAACTTTTTAAAAGCAGATATCAAAAAAGTCATATTTTTTAGGAGTTGTGGAATGACTATATAAATTATGAATTAATGTAATTATCCAGTAATATCTTTCCACATACAAATTACATTTAAGTCTTTTTGAACTTCTTGATTAAATGGAAACTCTTACCTGAGATTATTTTAAAGAGTTAGATGTATGCTAAAGAGGCGGCATGGGGATTGGAGCCAAGAGACCTGACTTTAGGTAAATGATTGTACCCTCTTAGCTCGTGGTTATATAAACACAGTGATTCTGGCCATATACAGGCACTGTTCACTGGAATGGAGTATATCTTTTCAAAATTTTCACACAGTATAAATTCGAATTTTACATGTTAAAAAATAATCACTCTCTACAAATTATTACTCTGTGGTATATCTGAAGGGTAGAAATGTTCAAAATGAAAAAAAGAATTGCAGTGTTTCATGAGATACTGTTGTCTGCCAGAAAATATCTATATGAAATATTCTATTCATGTGTACACTGTGGATATTTGTGCTTATAGAACAAATTACATATAGTGCAAAAACTTTTAGTATAGACAGCTACAAATTATAAGAATCTCTAAATTCTAAATTAAAAGAAAAATATAAATACTTCTCAGGAGCAAAATTAAGTAAACAATCAGAGGAGTAATCATACTAAAAATCAAGTACTCCTTTCACTTACTGACAAATCACAATGATGTCAAATTCACATGGGTTCTATCCAACTTCCAGCATGGCAATTGGAATAAACAGAAAGAAAGAAACTGACTGAAGACATCCCAAATGTGTTATCTCCCAAATGTGAGAAGTAAATTATAAATTATTAGGCACAATAGGAAATCAGCTACCAAGATGAAGGGTCAGAAGAAAATAGATGTCATATAAAATTCAGATATTGGAATTATGTTATAAATATTTAAATAAATACAACAGGGAAAATAAAAAATCAAAACAATGTCAGAAAAACAAGAAATTCTAAGATTAAAGAGCCATATTTAGAAATAAACCAAAGAATAAACAATTCAAATATAAGAAGCGAACTTAAGATACAAAATGTGAGCTAAACATTGAATTAAACTGAGTTGATGAGAGGACTAGATATGAAAATAGAATGAAGGACAAAACACTTTTAACTTTTACACTAGAATACATATTATAAAAAGAATGAAAGATAATAACCAAAAAATGATAATTTATACATTTCTAAAAATAATCATGAATAAATCTATGAATTCAGAATTCATGTCAAAAGAGATGGAAAAAAACTACTTAATAGAAATAATAGTAAAATTGTATAACACCAAGAGAAGTGAAAAAATTAAAAGCATGAGATAGATAACCTACAAAGGTGAGAGCAAAATCTTCAAATCTTTAATAGAAGCCAGAACTTAAAGATTAAGAGAGGTACAAAAGTATTTAGACTCTTAAAAGTAAAATTTTATATATTTTTATTGAATCAGCAAATTCTGTCATACTTGAATAATTTAACTGATGACCAAATAATCTTATTTTTTTCAGAAAAGAAGTTTTCATAACTAAGTTATTAAAAATTGATGGCACTTCCATTGCATATTCTACAGAATATTAGTTATTTTATTAGAACTGATTAGCACCAAAGAACTGATGGTGGCATAGACATTGACAGTAAGACTCTGGACACTCAAGATAGTAATCCTGAGTTGTACATGCATAGCAGGGTTCAGGAGAATGTGATGACTGAATATACCCAGTACATGACTACAGAGAAATTCATTAGCAGCAGGATGGTCTGGGTGGCCCTTTTCTCTGGGGAAACTCTTGGGGAAAGGCTGGTGCTGTGAAGGTGCTGGGGACAACCTTTGATACCTGGACAAAAGAATCACCATGTATGCACTTGAGAGCAGCATAACTCCTACAAGGAAGACATTCCTGGATATTGTCAGTGTGAACATCACAATTCTGATGATGTAGCTCATGGGGAAAAGTGAACAATATTTATTGAGAATCAAGAGATCAGTTTAGGTCACACTGGAAGAAGCCACAGATAACTACTGCAGGCCAAACTGAGGAACCATAAAAAGGCAAAAACATGTAAAAGGTAATTTTGTATATATATTTTTAAACCTTGGCAACCAGGTGGTGCTGTGGCTTATGGTCAAGTCTCAGAAGGGAGGTGGTACAGATGGAGAGGCCCCTCATCACCCTGTTTATATAGAAAAATGATTTAAATTTGAAGTCATTCTGAAAATTCAGGGACCCACACAGACCTGGAGAAAACTAAAACAGTACAGTGAGGAGCATCACTATGTGGATGAGGGCCAAGTGACAGGTCATCAGGTCAGTGGGCTTCCGCCTATAATCCAGGAGTGTGAAAATATGAACGAAAAGAAGGGAGGTGCTGGCTGAGAGTCCAGTACTAGCTTGGAAAAGAAAGGTAGTTTTCAATGGTTACATAAGTGGTAAATGTGTTCAACTAATGGCAGGGAAGAAACATATTTCATATATTTGGAGGAAAACCAATAGACTTCACATCATCAACATTCTATTTTTCGATAGTCAAAATTATCACCCACTGCCATCATTTTTACTTCACCCAATTATTTTTAATAACTCTGACTGGCTCATATAAATTATTAAAAATACAGCCTACATACTATTTTCTACCTAATATGACACACACA